TCCTTTGAGACCTGGTATAGTAATCCCCCCAGCACTGCTCTTTGTGCTCAGGGTTGCTTTAGCTATCTGGGGTCTTTTTTGCTTCTATACAAATTTAAGGATGTTTTTTTTTCTAATTATGTGAAGTATGTCATGGGGATTTTGGATTGCATTGAATCTATATATTGCTTTTGGTAGGATGGTCATTTTCACAATATTAATTCTTCCAATTCATGAGCATGGGAGGTCCTTCCATCTCCTGGTGTTTTCCTCAATCTCTTTCTTTACCTATTTAAAATCTTCATTGTATTGCTCTTTGGTGTCTTTGGTCAGATTTATTCCAAGATATTTTATTTATTTATTTATTTTGCAGAAATTGTGAATGGGAGCTTTTCCCTGTACTCTTTCTCCAATTGCTTGCTATTGGTATATGGAAAGGCTGCTGATTTTTGTAGTCACCTTTATGTAGTTTTGAGGATGAAACTCAGGTTATCAGGTTTGCGAGGTAAGCAACTTTATGTGCTGAGCCATCTTGCGTCCCCTATTTTTGGTTTACCATGGGTACGTTCCAGTTTTGAAGTGTTCCTTTTTTTTTTTTAACCTGCAAGCTCAAAAATATTCTCTGTATTTCCCATCTAAAATTGTGTTAAGAACTAGAATCAGGCCTAAAAGCGGCAAAGCAATGGTAATATTATAAAAAATTGTACAACTTTTGTTTCTTTATTATTATTCTCCTCCCTTGCATTGCAAATCCAAAAATCAAACTCAAAAACACATCTTGTGAGACATGGTCTTACTAAGTTTCTCAGGGTGGCTTGGAACACACTCTGTAGCTCAGGCAGAGCTTGAATTTCTGATCTTCCTGCCTCAGCCTCATGTGTAATGGGGATTAGAAGCATATGCCACCATGCCTTGGCATGTTTCCTTTTAAATTTTATTAGAGTTAGGTGAGTAGTTAGAGTTAGGCCATAACTTATAAGCAAACACAATCTATTTACTCTTGGAGGCCACTTTCATCCAGAAGTTGACTCCCAACAAGCACTAAACTGAATAAGCTAATATGCTAATACAGCCAGCCTTTGATTTCATGCATTCATTTATCTCCACTGAACATAGGTCTCCGCATTAGAGATAGACCTGGTTCATTAGACCTAAAGTTAGGAGTTCTAAAATTGAAGGTTACATGTAAGATGGGCTAAAATTTGGGGTAACAATATATTTTTTTGAAAGAGCTGCTCCAAAATGAATCAGAAATTATTTTATAACTTGTCATTTGTAATTGTTCATTGTGTCATTTCTCTAATTACTTAAAGATAAATCAGCTGGTAAATAATAAATGTAGCATAAAAGGTACATTTTATCATGACTAAACCACTCCTTTATTGGAAATCTATTTAAACTGATTCCAAAATAACTGATTGAATGACACAGATTACTGCTAAAATAGGGAAAGTAGCATTAACCATTATAGCTTCCTCTTGGGAGGGAGTCAATCGCCAGTAGTAACTCATTGTCTCTGAGATGACTCAGTACATGCTGGGAAAGTCATTTAATCGTTGAAGCTTGAATTTCTTTACTTTTTTTCTTACCTTGCTGCAGAGTTGAGCTCTAGGCCATAGGCAAGATAGAAGAAGGAAAGCAGCTAACAGTGTCTTATACCAGCTTGTTCAAAGCCAGTGAAGATTGGAGAAGCAGCTGGAAAAGCTGCACTCATCTGACCACACATGTGAGCAATCAGAAAAGATATTAAAGCCCAAGCTCTTCTTGGTGGGAAAAGACAAAGGTAGGTATATGTATATTTTTTCTGCCTGTGTGTTGCAAGTATCTTTTTCAGAATAAAGAAGAACATTTATTTTATAGCTAATAATCCTTTCAGTTAGTCTATTTCTAAAATAAATGTCACCTAATCATTGGAATAGTACTACATAATGATGGCTAGAGCATGGGATTTGCTCTGGAAAGACCTAATCTGTAGTGCTGACTTTTCTACTTACTGTATATTTGAGTTTAAAGTCACTCAACTTTTATCATGTGTAAACTGAGAATTAAATATTTACTAGATATGATTCATATGAGGATTTAACAAGATAATATGGGTGAAGTCTTGACATCTAATAGACAAACAACAAACATTAATTTCCTTTCTTATCTTTTTTTAAATTTTTATAAAAACTTTATTGAGAATTTCATACATGCATATAAGGTGTTTTGATCAAATCCGTGCCCACTCCCTCTCCTCCAACATTCTCCCCTCTGAAGAGGTAACTCTAAAATTGTTTAAGGATTAGATACAAGCTCCTAAATACTATTGACATTTTTGGCCTTGGAACAGAGTATGTTGCTAACAGGCCCAAGGACATTCTGAATTTTAGCCAAGAAACTGGCTACATTTCTTTGGGGTCTTTTTACCCTAGCTGCCTAGCCAATTCTTACCTCTTATTCTTATTATGCCATCCTCTGAAGGGGTTACCCAAATTGCTAATAGGGAATAGGGACACCGGGCATGGTGGTGCATGCTTTTAATCCCAGTACTCGGGAGGCAGAGGCAGGTGGATCTTTGTGAGTTCAAGGCCAGCCTGGTCTACATAGTAAGTTCCAGGACAGCTGGGGCTATAGGGAGACCCTGTCTCAAAAAGACCAAGAAAAAAAAAAGAGTGAGACTTTGTCCTTCCTTACCTTTATTAGTTAAAATAATGGCCCTTTATAAATTAAAATAATGCAGATATTTTCAAATATTGTGACTAGATATGACAAAGGCATTAGATTATCAGAGGTTATACTTGTCATATGAAAACAAAAACATGGAGATTTGGCAACGTTAAATTAGTTAATATCATTAATAGGTTAATATTGACTTGGTGACAGGATTAGTAGTCAGCTCCAAATATAACATTTACTTAGGTTGAGACTAACTGAAAATTTCTTCACATCAGACAATACACAAAGATCTACATTTAAGATACAAGTATACGTTGTGTTACTTTCTCCCTTAAGTTGTTCTGTCATGTATTTTGTGAGAGAAAGAATACTATATTAACATAAGATTGGTCCCAGAGAAGCAGAGTCATTGATATGACTATCTGACAGTGTAGCTCAGAAACCTTGTAACTGTTTTGCAAAACAAATTTGGAGAAGTTTGGAAGTATGTTTTAGAGAAAGTCTAAAATTCCTTAGGCAGTGTAATGGGTGATTCTGATAGAAACACTAAAGACCAGAGTGCTGATAGAAATGTAAACAGTAAAGTCTGTGCTTCTGGGAATAGGGACTCTATTGAGATTTGAACCAGAGGCCACTCATGTTACATTCTAGCAAAGAACTTGTCTACATTTTTCCATTCTTCAACTTTCTGGGAGACTGAAGTTAGATGTGATAGACTAATTCATCATTATTATAATACATTCAGGTTTGGCACAGTTAGTGATGGCTGTTTGCCAGTTAACAATGCTTTTGGCCAGGTGTACAGTCAGATTTAGGAGCATAGAACAGAGCAGAAAGACTTTAAAGACTTGTAGTTTGGTCAGAAAACCCACTGAAAAGTTGGGGTTAAGGAAAGCATGGTTTTTAAAGAGATTAAGGCCATTAAGTCCTGAGTTTGCTACTTACTATTGAAAAAAATTAAAGAAGGAAATAATGAAAACTTAAAAGTCTAGCAGCAGGCTATAAAGTTTCTCAATCACAGTACCATTAGCTTTTTGGATCAGTTCATTATTTTGTAAAAGGCTGTCTTGTGCATTTCAGAATATTTGACTATCTATTCACATGACAGCAACATCTATCCACTTAACCTGGAGTTAGGACAATCAAAAACAATTCTGAACATTCTATATTTCCAGGGAGACCAAAAAACTACCCCTTTCCTAGAATCATAACACTAATGTGTGGCACATTCATATAATGAAGTACTACATAGCCAATAAAATTATATTTTAGAAAAACATGTAATGAAAAAGCAGTAAGAGCTTACTATAATTTACATTTAAAAATAATTTCATATATCAGTAATCAGGATGCAGTGGCTGACAACTACAAAATCTTATCAAACAATTGCTATTGATTTGATGTGCATGCAAAATATCAAAAGTATTAGGTTGGAAAAATCTAGAAGACAGTGAGGCATTCTTTTAAATGTGAAGTACCAAGTGTTTGCAGAAAGCAATGGGAGAGATAGTGGATTGGATCTGTTGCATTCTCAAAGACACCTTAGGAGCCCAGCACTATGGCTTTAGTTCTTTTATGGCTACTTTTAAAAAGTGCTTGTTGCCAGTCTTTATAATGGTGCAAAAGATAAACTGTATGGAGAAACTCAGGCAACTTCTCAGTCAAAAGGAATTAGAAGAGCTCCTAAAAGGATGCTGTTTGTCTATATTTTGTTTGTTTTTCTTTTTCTTTGTGGATGTAGTATCATTGATTTTATTTAGACCTTCCTAAGAGAAACAGAATTGCTGCAAACATCCAATCCTTTATTTGTTCATTTAGCAAAAGTCTCAGATATTGGGCATAAAAAGGGGAACAAAATTTTATTCAGATCCTCAAAAGAAAACAAAAAAAGGAATTAGATGACGCTTAGCATGGTGAAGGCAGGAGTTCAAGGCCATCCCTGGTCACATAGCAAATTCGAGGCTTGCTTGAGTTACATGAGACACTATCACAGAACAGAAAAATGTACTTAGAGGAGTACTATGGTTTAAATGTGAAATGTCTCCGGCATATCCATGCGTTTGGACACTTGGTCCCCAGCTGGTGGCACTGTTTTGGGAGATTTTGGAAACTTCTGGCCATGGAGCAATGCTGGCTGTGAGAGTAGGTCAAGAGGATTATATGCAGCACCAGTACCAGCCTGAGTTCTCTGCTTTCTGCTCAGTGACTGAAATGTGAGCAAGCTACTATGAATGTCTCTTATGTCTTCCCCATCAGACAAATGTTAACTAAAATGAATCCTTCCTCATCTAGGTAACTTTTTTCAAGTATTTTTTCCCAATGAGGAGAAAAGTAACTAGTACAAAGAACAAATAGAATTAATAAATTAGAAGAGGTAGACTTTGAAAGTGATGAAATTTTATAAATATTTTTAATTAATATAGTTTGCTCTTTTATGTATACACAAAAGCAACATGATAAAAATATAGTTCATAAAATTTCCCAAAGCCTTTTTAGTGAATACTAAGTAACATGAATTTTTTCTGTGCATATTTTTCTGCATTTTGCAAACTATATGTATCATTAAGCTACTGTAATTTGAAATGAAAGGCTTTTTCCTAATTTAAGAAAAGACCCAAGTATTCTTCACTGGAACAGTAGGGAAGATAGCTTGACAACACCTCATAAATTAGCCACATTCCATCTATGCCAGGCTCAAGAGTATGAAAACATAACCTCATTTGAAAGACTTTCACTAGAGAAAAAGAGAGCCCATGAAGCACCCTGCTCTCACTAGTAAGCCTAGGGAAGTTGTTTTCCCAGGAATTTGTTTGCCCTGCTCAACCACCCTGACACTCATAGGCCAATGTGGCCATGGTCAAAGAGGGTCAAGCCACTGTTTGAGCTTGTGGTAGAACTGAGTATCATCCATGTGATGCTGCTTTTGCAGAAATAAAGACTCAAGAATTATGGAGGCCTCTACCAAAATTTCTAAGGAAGGCATAGGAGGTCAGGCAATAAGTTCCATAGAGGAAGTTCCTGTGAAGGAAATAATGGGAAGTTGTGAGAGTGAAGTCTAGGGTACATTAGAGATCCCAGGATGCTAGAGATGTCAGGAATGTGGACTCTGCCAAGGAAAGTGACAAGCAGTGAGCAGAGCCAGCCCAAAAAAGGGGCCATGTGGGCTGACAACAGCAAGTCCATAGAGGCAGGGCTGCTCAAGCCCTTGTTGTTCATGCCACCATGTGCCCCAGAGGCTTAACAAGGAGCTACAGGATTTAATTATTTCCCTAATTGGAAGGCTTTCTTTGGACCCATCCACTTTCTGGCAGAAAACTGACAGCATTCTTTTCATGTCATAAAAATCTAAATTCAAAGATAACAGACTAATTTTTATTACAGGAAATTCCCAAACTGCATGCTTATAAGGCTATAATTTGGTTTCTTCTCTTTGATTTTAGCCAGGTTTATAGTGAGAATGGAGAGAAAATCAGCAGAGCAGAAAGACGTGAAAATGTACACTTTGGTGATGAAAACAGTACATTTAAACTAGACATGTCAAATGGAGACAAAGTGGCTGCAATTGATAAAGAAATTGATACCACTGTAAAGAAAATACAAAGTTTTCACTGGGATGGTAGGTAAGGTGCCTTAAGGGTAAGTCAGCATCAATCAAGAGTTCCAAGGTGTAACAATGGAAATTCATTTGAAAACTCTTGATTTAAAAGCAGAGTGTTGGGATAGGAGAGATGGCTCCAAAGTTAATACCACATACTGCTATCTCAGAGGACCTAGGTTTGGTTCCCAGTACCTAAGCTGGGTGGTTCAGAACCACCTATAACTGTAGCTGAAGGGGATCTTGTGCCCTCTTCTGATCTCCACAGACATCTGTATACTTGTATGCATACCCCCCACATACACATAAAAAAAATCAATAATGAATAAAAGCAGAGTGCTTGAACAAAGAATGCCTCAAAAGATAGAGCCTCCAGGCACCCTGCTCAAGCAGGGCCTTCTAAGTTATTGTATTTCCCCATTTGCTCAAGCTGGCAGCAAACTTGTTGGTATCATCCATGTGGTGCTGGTTTTACAGGCATGCAAAATAGAAGAGTTATGTGCCTGTCAAGGCTTGACCCAAGGCTTCAGAGGAAAAAGGTTGTGGAGGCTAGGCAATGTGTAAAGGATCATAGTCCCTGAAGAGGGGCCCTGAGAAGCTGATGTTAAGCTATAAAAATGAAACCTAAGGTTATAATGAACACATTAAAATATGGGAGTTTCCAGGAATATGGGACTTCTGCTGAAGAAAGGTGACAACACTGAGTGAAGCCATAACAAGAAAAAGTGCCTGTATGTTGCAGGCAGCAAGGCTGGAGAGGCAAGGTCACCCAAACCCATGAAAATTCATACGATGCCACCATGAGCCCTAGATGCTGGATGTAGAGCTGCAGAGTTTAAGGTCTGTTTTGTCTTTGTGGGTTTTGGTCTTACTTTTGTCTCATCTTTGTTCTGTCCTCCCATTCCTCACTATTGGAATGTGAATGTTTATTCTGTGTCATTATATATTAGAAGTAGGTAACTTAGCTTTTTTTTTTTTTATTCTATTGGTGCTCACACCTAAGAGTTTGCCCAAAGTCAGAAGAAACTTTGGAGTTTTGAAGTGTTGAGACTGTTAAAACTATGGGTACTCTTGGTTGGACTGAATGAATTTTGTGTTATATAAGGTGGTCATGAACCTCTGGAGGAATGTTATGGTTCGGATATAAAATGCCCCCTACAGGGTACAGGGTAATGTGTTTGAACAGTTGGTTCCCTGCTGGCAGTGCTGTTTTGGAGGCTGGGCATAGCTGGAGGAAGTGGATCACTGGGGGCAGTCCTTAAGGGTTATAGCCTAATCTTACTTCCAGTCACATCTCCACTTCCTGGCCTGTGCTATGGATCAACCAGCTCCTACACAACGTCACTGCTGTGGATGGAGCCTCAGATGCTGTACCTTCCCTGCCAACATTAATTGCATCTCCCAAAACTGTAAACCAAAATAAATCTTTCCTCCCTTAACTTGTTCCTGTGAGGTATTCTGTCACAGTGAACAGAAAACTAACTAATGCATATGCTAACCCATTTCTAATATTGGATCACCAACACTTATGCCTTTGAAGTATCAACTGATTCTTTAGTATTGGCAGATAGTAGAATGCTTTTAAATGTTTGGGCTCCCTGATGCTGATAAACAGTTTACGAATAATCTCATACCTTGCTATTTCTTCTTAGGTAAGATCAAACAGGGAGTTAAGGCTTCCTGAAACTTTTCTAGAGTTAAGGCTCTGTGGGTGACTTTGCAGATGCATTTTATTTAGACAACTCCCGTAACAGTTCTTTGGTTCTATAGGCCCATGGTTGATAATAACAGAGATACTGTAATGATTCTACTTATAAAAGGCAAATAAACCATTTTCCCTGTCTGTCCATGAAGCGTTCTTTGCAAAGCCTAATTAAGTGAGATCCCTTTCTCTAACATTTAGAATGTAAATAACTCTTTATGAGTGTATGAACTTCATCCATGTAAAATATGAACTACCAGGAAAGTCTCCCTGGCACCTTGGGAACTTAACCAAGGTATCAGCTCAGACTGTTATCATTTGCTTAAAGAAGAAATGAGAAGTTCTGTTATTCCTTCATATGAATTCAGCGAACTAAAACAACTATCTCAATTTGCAAATGAATTTAGAATGAGCTAAAATGAAAAAAAAAAGTGTGTTCTGTTAAAATTCTCATGCAGAGGGGCTGCAGAGATGGCTCAGAAGTTAAGAACACTGGTTGTTCTTGCAGAAGACCCGGGTTCGAATCCCAGCACCACATGGCAGCTAACAACTGTCCATAACTTCCATCCCAGGGGATCCGACTGCCTTTTCTGACCTCCGCGGGCATTGCACAACACGGGTGCACTTACCTACATGCAGGCAACACATGCATACACATAAAAAAATTCTCATGAGGAAGGGAAACAAGATGCAGTAAAATCTAAAGGGCATGTAATTTTTACTAGTTACAAACTGTCGTATAAAAAATGTGTGCCAAATGCCCTAGCTTGTAATATTAGATAAAAATTATATGAGGCTATTGTTTGGGATTCTAAGCCCAGCAGACCACAATAAATATCAGAATAATGTTACTCATACTAAATAACTAACCTTCCCAAAATGAGAGATAATAGTGCAATTTCTCAAACAGACCAGTTTCAGTAAGCATGATAATGAAATCCTCCCTGTTTCCAATCTTTACTTCAAAAAGAAACCTGAAGTAACCCAAAATTAACCAATAAATAAGTCTTCTATTCTCTCTATAAATCTTCTGCCAAAGGAACTTTGGCACAGCTAATCCATTTCGTTCTTTCTTTGTACTTTCTTCAGTGCTCCTTTGTTTATATATCTTCTACTCACTTCATTAGAACATGAAGTTTGATGCAATGAAGTGTTGACTGATTCAAGAATCACAAATAAAGTCACTTAATATCTTTAAGCTGAATTTGTTATAACTCTGTCTTTTGACAGCAGTCTCATTCAGGTTGCCTACGTGCACATACATTGAGTATGCTAATTCGATAATAAAGCATAGTTTTTTCTTTTCTATGCTTTATGGAAAGTGTTCTGTTATGGTAGCATTTTTACTTCCTGAATACTGTAGATACCTACAGATTTGAAACAGCATGAAGAAAATGTGAGAAGTCAAAGTCTGGCAATGCAATGCTTGCTTATCTATACTTGGAATCAACTAGAAACCTGGAATCATGCATACATCAAAGGTCATGGAGAATATCAAACCAGAAGCCATACTTACAAGAAGAGAAGACATAGAACATTAAGATGTGTGTAATAGAGCATACCTAGGAACAGCACAGACAATTATGTCAAAGAAATTCAAGGAAATAAAAACACAGAAAGACAAGAAAAAGGAGGGCAGTCAGAAATTCAAGCATAGTCAGCAGTTCTACAGGAGCCAGAGTAGACAACTCTCTTGTCCCCCACATTAAGAGAACAATATGAACAATGTTGTCCTGGGCAGAGAATTTACATATATTCCCTAATATGAATGTCACAGGGCTGGCTGAGAGCAGCTAGAGAGAACATGAGGGAAAGTTGTGATTTCTAGCGACAAAGTGGCAGTATATCTATTCTTTTGTGGGTTTTTTTTTGAACTCTTTTTTATTGATTTTTTTGTAAATTTCAAACAATATATTTGATCATATTTAGACATTCCCTATTGACACCCCCTTACTACTCCCACCCAATTTCTCATATATACATATATATGCCTATAGAGTTAAATTTGTGTCTCCAAATGCCCTTTGGTGTGGGTTATGGAGCGTGGTCAACCTATTCTTCTTTTACTTTTTGGTGATTTTAGGATGTCTAATTTCATCAAACAACATCTGCCATAAATCCAAAGTGAACTAGAATTTCTTAATTCCACTTTTAAAAATAAACTAACATAACCAGTGATCTCATTAAAATGTGCTAACTCTATATAGTGAAAAATTGTGCAGCTATTTAAAAAGAATAATTAAAATCAAGTTGTTGACACAGAAAAATATCTACTGTATGTATTTCATTTTTAAAAGTCAACCAGGGGACTAGAGACATGGCTCAGTGATGAAGAGCTCTGCTCTTGCAGAGGATCCAGGTTCGGTTCCCAGCACTTACATGAGGGCTAACAGCTGTCTGTAACTCCAGCTCCATGGGATCTGACACCCTCTACTGCCTTCTGTGGACTTTGCAGGACATGGGTGTACTTACATACATGCAGTCAAAACACTCATGTACATAAAATAAAAATAATAAATAAAATATTTATAAAATTAAAAGTCAACCAGTACATATAGGTAAGCCTACACCATATTTGTATGTCACCTGTGAGTCTGTTCTGATAATTTTCTCTCTTGTGCCAGTTATTAAAATTTCCGTTGTTTTCTTTACACATATATGCAGAGAATGTTCACCAATAATCTAGCTGTGATATTTCACCCCTGCATGGCCTATGAATTCTAGTTTATTCTCGTCTAAACAGCAACCAATAACAAGAGCACAAAAGAAAAAACAAGCTAGCCCAAAGGTGCCCATTTCCATCAGTGTATACAGAAGTAATTCTCAAATCTCACAGTGTGTCAGAATTATCCACGTGTTTTAAAAGCCACAGAGACCTTGTTTTAATTAATCTTGGTAGAGCTTGGACACAAATATATTTATGAATGTTCCAAGTGAGTCTACCATGTAATCAGAATTGAGAATCTGCCAGGAACACAGACTAGAAAGCCAGACTACTTGAACCTGAATCTTAGTTCTGTCATTTACTCCTTATGTGGTAGTAGGCAAAATATTTAGACTCTTTGTGCTCCAGTTTTCTCATCTGTAAAAAGCTGAGAATGCTAAAAACAACTGTGTCTTAAGAGTATTGCAAAATTAACTGTATGTACACACCCACATACACATATGTAGTGTAGAGTATGCGTAATAAAATTATAAGCATTTATTTTTAAATTATATTTATTATTTTTATTTTATGTGTGTATTTTGCCTGCATGTGTATAAGTGCATCCGTGTTGTGCTATTCCTGCAAAGGTCAGAAAAGTGGGTCAGATCTGCTGTAACTGGAGTTACAGATGATTGTTAGCCACTTTGTGAATACTGGAATTCAAACCTGAGTCTCCTGCAAGAGCAGCCAATACTCTTAACTGCTGAACCATTTTTCCAGCCCCATAAATGTCTATTTTCTAAACTTTGACTAGTCATATCACTCAGCTAGCATCCCATATTTCTCTACTACATGCTCATGAAAGGACGTAACAGAAAAAGCCAAAAGAGGACAACTGAGAATGTTAAAAATACAATTTTGTCTCTTAGAAAATCTGGTGATTTTTCTCATAAAGATTTGCTCTGAATTGGAAAATGTGACTTTGTGAGATCACTTGGGAACATGCTAACCCTCTCCTTACAACATTTTTCTGGGAAAATAATTAAAATTTGGAGGAAAATAACTTGAATATCATTCTGGGAATGCAATTGTGCATTCATCTTCTTCATACCAGCTACTATGTCATTGAGCCAGGATTCAAGTCCTGGATGGCTATCTCCAAAGTCTGTGATCTTTCCATGACACCACACAGCTTACTGTTGAAGTAAGCACAAGTCCATCTAACTCAACACACCTCAAAGTAATTTTAATAATAGAAAGATAGCAGGAAAATGAAAATGAAGCTAAAATTTATGAAATACCTACTGACCTCAAATTCTGCTGGTAGAATTTTTTTAGGTAAAGCAATTTATAAATAGCAAATAGCACTTTTCAAACCATATTTATTATATTAAAAAGATGAGTTTTATTTTATTACCACTCAGTACTACTTTCCTTTAACAGTATTCCCTTCAGTGTTCCCTTTAGTGCCTCTTTAGATTTTATTTCTCC